CGGCATGGCACATCGCAGTTCAGCACGGCGTAGCACAGCACAGCCCTCAGCACAGTACATCATCATCGATACATTCAGCATTGCATGTGCCCGTCGTCCAATCAGGTGTCTTTGAAATGTTGCAATGCCTTACACTTCTATATTCCTTTCCGGGTTCGTGGGTCGATCATTTTTCCCAAAAAGGGCTTCCGACCCAGGGTTCTCTTTTAGAGGTTTCCCCTTCAGTTTTGACGGGAAGAGGGCCGGCGGATTTCTTTTGCGATAAATAACGAGTGGGAAGAGGGCCGGCTAACTAAAATTTGAGGATGTCCCTAGCGAAACGCTTGTTTTTCAGAATTTGTTGAGGATTTCTCGAGCGAAACGCTTGTTTTGTGTTATATATTGTCCTCTCCTGGGGACCAGAATTTAGAGGATCTCTCAAGTGATGCTTGGTTTCACGTGCCCAGGTCTTGAGGATTTCTCAAGCGAGACGCTTGGTTTCACACCTCCAGGTTGCCCAGGCAGAGGTCAAGCGCCAGGATTTGTTGAGGATGTCTCGAGCGAGACGCTTGGTTTCACGCGTCCTCGTCGCCCAGGCGGATGTCTAGAATGAGGAGGTGTTGAGAATGTCTCGATCGAGATACTTGTTTGCACGTGTCCAGGTTGCCCAGGCGGATGCCTAGCATGAGGATGCGTTGAGAATGTCTCGAGAGATACGCTTGTTTTCACGTGTACAGGTCACCCAGGCGGACGTCTCACACGAAGATGTGTTGAGGATGTCTCGAGCGAACTACTTGTTTTCACGTGTCCAGTTCGCCCAGGCGGATGTCTAGCATGAGAATGTGTTGAGAATGTGTTGAGCGAAACGTTTGTTGTCACGTGTCCAGGTCGCTCAGGCGGATGTCTAGAATGATGAGTTTGACAGGATGTCTCGAGCGAAACGCTTGTCCCCAGCACGTTCCGTAGCGCGTCCCCTTGGCACGTCCCGCGGTGCGTCCCCATGGCACGCCCCCTGGCATGTCGCCTGGCGAGTCCTTTGAGACGTTCCGCGGCGCGTCCTCCTGGCATGCCCCCCTGTCAATTAGCTTTGCGACAGATACTATGTGCTCAGGCAGCTCGAGCTTAAGATCCAGATCAGTTCGGTCAGGACTCGGATGCAAAGGAGGACTTGATCCACGACGCTATAGAGCACAATCGCGGCATGGCACATCGCAGTTCAGCACGGTGCAGCACAGCACAGACTTCGGCACGGTACATCCAGATCGATACAATCAGCATTGCAACCTGGCACGTTCCTTGGCACGTTCCGTGGGGCGTCCCTTGGCGAGTCCTCCTGGCACGTCGCGTGGCGCGTCCCCTGGCACATCCCGTGGCACATCCATTGGCACGTTCCATAGCGCGTCACCTTGGCACGTCCTACGGTGCGACCACATGGCACGTCCCTTGGCACGTCGCTTGGCGCGTCCCTTGGGACGTTCCGCGGCGCGTCCTCCTGGCATGTCCCCCTGTCAATTAGCTCTGGGGCAGCTACCATCTGCTCAGACAGCTCGAGCCGAAGATCCAGATCAGTTCGGTCAGGACTCGGATGCAAAGGAAGACTCGATCCACGACGCTATAAAGCACAACCGCGGCATGGCACATCGCAATTTCAGCACGGTGCAGCACAGCACAGCCCTCGGCACGGTACATCCAGATCGATACAATCAGCATTGCACTTGCCCGTCACCCAATCAGGTGTCTTTGAAAACGTTGCCATGCGTCACATCTCTATATTCCTTTCCGGGTTCGTGGGTCGATCATGTTGACAGGGATGGTGGAGGGGGGGCCGCATGGGGTTGGCCGCGCATGCTCCAAATGTGGAGGCAGAGTGCGGTCTGTATTGCTTTTTCCCGGAAAGGGCGCAGGCCCAGGGTTCAACTTTCAGTTGGTTTACCCCCAGATCTGACGGCTGTAGGGCCGGCGAATTTCTTTTGCGATAAATAACGAGGTCGCGTAGGGCCGGCGAATTAACAATTGAGGATGTCCCTAGCGAAACGCTTGTTTTTCAGAATTTGTTGAGGATGTCTCGAGCGAAACGCTAGTTTTGCAGAGTTGGGGATGTCTCGAGCGAAACGCTTGTTTTCAGAATTTGTTGAGGATGTCTCGAGCGAAACGCTGGTTTTGCAGAGCCGACCGCGACGCGGAAAAGCGCCCCGCGCGCAGGAATTCCGATGATGTTTCGCGCGTGCCGCGTCCCGCGCGCAGGCATTTCGAGGATGTCTCGACTAATTCGTTTGTTTTGCTAGGATGTCCTTGAATTTTGGCAGGATGTCTCGAGCGGAAATGCTTGTCTTTCATAATTTGTTGAAGACGTTTCGAGCGAACCGCTGGTTTTGCAAAATTGGGGGATGTATCCAGCGGGGGCCTCGTGGGGGGCCTCGTGGGGGTCCAGAATTCAGAGGATGTCTCAGGCGAAATGCTTGTTTACACGTCCCGCTCGCAAGAATTTCGAGGATGTCTCGCGCGTCCGCGCCCCGCGCGCAGGAATTCTGAGGATGTTGGCAGGATGTCTCGAGCGAAACGCTTGTCCCCAGCACGTTCCGTAGCGCGTCCCCTTGGCACGTCCCGCGGTGCGTGCCCATGGCACGTCCCCTGGCACGTCGCTTGGCGCGTCCCTTGGGACGTTCCGAGGCGCGTCCTCCTGGCATGTCCCCTCTGTCTATTAGCTCTGGGGCAGCTACTATGTGTTCAGGCAGCTCGAGCTTAAGATTCAGATCAGGACTCGGATGCAAAGGAGGACTCGATCCACGAGGCTATAGAGCACAATCGCGGCATGGCACATCGCAAGTCAGCACGGCGCAGCACAGCACAGACTTCGGCACAGTACATCAAGATCGATAGACTCAGCATTGCAACTTGGCACGTTCCTTGGCACGTTCCGTGGGGCGTCCCTTGGCGAGTCCCCCTGGCACGTCGCGTGGCGCGTCCCCTGGCACATCCCGTGGCACATCCATTGGCACGTTCCGTAGCGCGTCCGCTTGGCACGTCACGCGGTGCGTGCCCATGGCACGTCCCCTGGCACGTCGCTTGGCGCGTCCCTTGGGACGTTCCGCGGCGCGTCCTCCTGGCATGTCCCCCTGTCGATTAGTTCTGGGGCAGCTACTATGTGTTCAGGCAGCTCGAGCTTAAGATCCAGATCAGTTCGGTCAGGACTCGGATGCAAAGAGGACTCGATCCACAACGCTATCTAGAGCACAATCGCGGCATGGCACATCGCAGTTCAGCACGGCGCATCACAGCACAGATTTCGGCATGGTACATCAAGATCGATACACTCAGCATTGCAACTTGGCACGTTCCGTGGGGCGTCCCTTGGCGAGTCCCCCTGGCACGTCGCGTGGCGCGTCCCCTGGCACGTCCCGCGGCACGTCCATTGGCACGTTCCGTAGCGCGTCCGCTTGGCACGTCACGCGGTGCGTGCCCATGGCACGTCCCCTGGCACGTCGCTTGGCGTGTCCTTTGGGATGTTCCGCGGCGCGTCCTCCTGGCATGTCCCCCTGTCGATTGGTTCTGGGGCAGCTACCATCTGCTCAGTCAGCTCGAGCTTAAGATCCAGATCAGTTCGGTCAGGACTCGGATGCAACGAGGACTCGATCCACAACGCTATCTAGAGCACAATCGCGGCATGGCACATCGCAGTTCAGCACGGCGCAGCACAGCACAGATTTCGGCATGGTACATCAAGATCGATACACTCAGCATTGCAACTTGGCACGTTTCCTGGGGCGTCCCTTGGCGAGTCCCCCTGGCACGTCGCGTGGCGCGCCCCCTGGCACGTCCCGCGGCACGTCCATTGGCACGTTCCGTAGCGCGTCCGCTTGGCACGTCACGCGGTGCGTGCCCATGGCACGTCCCCTGGCACGTCGCTTGGCGTGTCCTTTGGGATGTTCCGCGGCGCGTCCTCCTGGCATGTCCCCTCTGTCGATTGGTTCTGGGGCAGCTACCATCTGCTCAGTCAGCTCGAGCTTAAGATCCAGATCAATTCGGTCAGGACTCGGATGTTAAGGAAGACTCGATCCACGACGCTATGTAGAGCACAATCGCGGTATGGAACATCGCAGTTCAGCACGGTGCAGCACAGCACAGCCCCTGGCACAGTACATTAAGATCGATACATTCTGCATTGCATTTGCCCGTCGCCCAATCACGTGTCTTTGAACAGTTGCCATGGCTTACATTTCTATATTGCTTTCCGGGTTCGTGGGTCGATCATGTTGACATGGATGGTGGGGGGCGGACTCCCATGGTGTCGGCATGGTTCTTGGTTGGACGCCGGCCAGGGGGGGAGCGGGTGTAGATGAATAAGGAACAGTCATAAACCTCTCCCTGAAGGGGAAGAAGGGGGTTGGAAGAGGAGCCTCCCTACACCACCTGCAGCCAAGACGCTGAAATAAGAAACAGTTTGGATTCGGAAGGGGCTCGATGTTCCTTGGGTCCTTCCATGGCTGGTCCTCTAGCCCTCCTCGTGCTCGCAGGCGCTGCTGAGGTCAAGAAGGGGGTTCGTTCCTTGTTTGTCGTTCCTTCTTTCAGCAGCCCGACTGTACGCCCAGAGGGCTGGTGGAACTTACCCTGAAGCGACATTGGCGCCAGCGCCCCCTCCCGGCATTGGCAATGCTATTGTGTGTTGTTTCCGCGCTCACATTCTCTAGGATCTGTCCAGCATCGCAGCCCCACATGCACTGCTTGGATGTGCCATCGGCTGACTGCCTCTCGACGCTCTCGACGCTCCCTGCCCCTCGACGTCCGCAGCTGTCTGGGCCCAAGCCGTGCGGGCTCATTTAGTGTGAAGCTGAAGCGATTTTGGCACTGGCGAGATTGGCTGAGCCCGCGCCTGAACATGCAGTTCCCGTCCATCTCTTCTCCTGAAGGGTTCAGGCCAAAGTATCTCTGGTCGGAGGCAGGAGGCGAAAGCGACGCTGAGAGCTCAGGGCGGCCGCACCGCAGGACAGGGATGTTGTGTCTTGTCCCCACGCTTCTGGCAGTGGGCGCGACTGTGATCGTGTTGCGCCTGTTGTCGCGCCCTCAGACGCCCTCCCCGTCTCTTCAAGACGTTGGCAAGATTGGCCTTGAGCAGCAGAAACGTGTCGTCGTGAACGACATGGTAGAGGGCATGGCAGCCTGGCCCAGGGCCCTGCGTGAGTTGCAGTACTTGGCGGGCTCCACAAACCACGTAGTCACCATTCCATGTGTGAACCTGACGAGTGGCAGGAGCACGAGTTGCAAGCATGGGGGTGCGAAATCATTCGCTGACCTGTTCGACCTGACAGATTGGGGCTTGACACCCTTCGACGCCGAGCTCGACTCGGATCAATGCGTTCGGTTTTCAATGTGCAGCCTTCCTTCCTGCGCAGGCGACATGGCGCCGAAGACAATACAGGAATGGACAGACGCTGTGTCTTCATGTCGCTCCGTTGGAGTCGAGGCGCTGAGTGCGGATCGCGTCGTCGTACAGCACACCCAGCTGAGCACGGCCCGCATCGACAATCTCATGTCTCCCGTCCCCGAGGCAACGATCTCACACCCTGGCCGAGCGGACAATTGGCCGCAATTCAATTTTTCCGCGGCCCGTGAAGCAGAGGTTGAGCGCATCTTGGCCGCAAACGGGCTGCGCCCATCAACTGGCGGGCACGCGGGGAATTATGTCGTGTACAATTGGCGATCGGAGGCGGTGGCCGACATCAACTACACACAATGCGCGCAGGAGCTCTTGTCACACATCAGGGCCCATTCAATCAAGTCTGGCAAGCGCCTCGTGCTGGTCTCCGACATGCCGTTCAACATTAGCGCCATGCCCTCATTGTGGGGCAGCGGCGCCTTGAAGATAGGACGAGAGCCGACGTTCCCTGCGGCACGCAAGATGCTCATTGACGCCGGCTTCACTAAGATCGAGATTATGGCAACTAAAGCGGGGTATGACCTAAGGAGAGTGCCCCCGTCCTACGTCAGCATCTGGGACGCCATTATCGCGCGCGGGGGCGAGAAACTAGTGCTCTGCAGGGCCGAAGAGTGCGCGCGGTGCGCCTTGCATGGGAGCAAGTTCATGTCATTGCTGAGGCATCATTTTCTTCGGCATCATGGGCCCGAAGCGCTGGTCGAGGAAAGCTGGGTGACAGGTGGCACGAGTGTTGTTTGATGGCGCCGTTTGCGTCGACAAAATACACGTAAAACCAATCCCCTCCATGCATCTCGCATACGGCTCCCCTAGGTTCGGCACGATGTTCGTGTTGGTCTCCTTGTCCTCCCGTACGTGGACAATAAGTTCGAACCTTGCGGCACAAGATGCCCCCCAAGGGACCCCCCAAATCTAGGAAGAAACAACAAGGATCCCCCCAGCGAGTGGCGAGTGAACGATTGGTGGATGCTTAGGCACTCAGCGCTGCTGCGCCGACGAAGACAGGCTGGCCTTCTCTCTTGTGGTAGGGAAGCCCTGATGCCCAGACATCCGCCGACCTTGCGTCTCGACTCTTTCTCTTCTTCCTTCGGCTGTCATTCTCGCTCTGGAGAAGGATTACTATCTGGTGCGCAGCCCAATACTTGCCCGGCCAATTGTTTCGCCATGATTTCGGGGGTTGTCGGGTGATAAACATCCTCCCCAAGTGTGTGAGGGTTCGAATATTTTGTCCATGTACGGTCCGTTGCAATGTTCCGTTTTGTTTGCAGCATGTTCAGAAGGGCCACCCTAGAATTTGTGACGCGTCTCGCAACCCCATCGGCCCATCCAGAAACGATCCCCATGCCAATTGTTTTGATCAGGAAGTGTTGGAGCATGCAGTCCAGGACTCCAGGACTGCACTACATATGTTTTTGTGGATCTTTCCCAGGAGGGGAAGGAGGAGAGAGGAGGAGGGAGGACGGGGAGGAGGAGGAGAAGGTGGAAGTGGTGCGGGAGGAGGAGACGGGCGAATTGAAGGAAGATTGGGGATAACATGGAAGGATTGGGGAATGGGGGGGCGGACGGATGGAGAAAGGAGACATGAGCAGGGAAAAGCGGATGGTTAGTGGAATTGGTGACGAGGGAGGGAAGACAAAGGGAAGAATGAGGAAATATTGATGGATGGAGGGATTGACGGACGCATGAAGGAAGGATGAGGGATGGCGAGATGATCGGGAAAGGGAGGATGCAACATGAACGGTGGAATGAGGGATTGAGGGAGGAGGGATGGGAGGATAGGGGGGATGACAGATAAGATAATGAGGGATGCAGGGTGCCCGACGAATGCAGGGAACAGCCAGGAAGGATGAGTTTGTGGGTGGAGGGGCTGGTGCAGAGATTGCGGAAGAATGTGAGAGAGGAGGGATGGACGGGTAGAAGGATCGAAAGATAGATGGATGAGGGATGCAGACGCGATGGCTCAGGAGTAATGGACAGATGCATGCAGGGAGGACAGGAGGAAGGATCAAGGGTACAAGGGTGGCAGGAGTGACGGGGGACGGGTTCGTCAGAGGGAGGAAGTGGGAGGGAAGATGGAGGATGGACGGAGGGGCAAAATTGAGCTCGTTCTGCGGTCTTGTGCTTGTCAAGTGCAGTGGTGTTCACAGGTGCTGCGGTTTCCACCGGCGTCTCGGTGTTCGCAGTCTTCTGGTGTTCAAGCATTGTTGGGCGCAACCAGTCCTGCGCGTATGCGGTCCCAATGTGTGGCACGTGAGAAAAAAGAAAACGAAATCACGCAATGATGCCGCAATGCGCTGTCCACCTAGGATGTTTGAGTGCCCTGTTGGAGCCACTGGCCAGCTTGTCCGCCGATTCGGCGCCGCTCCCACATGGACAGGCGGGCGTGCTCTCCCGGCGCCTGAAGATCTACACGCGTATTGCCCGTATTCCGAAGCTGGCGCTTCCAGAGCTACTGCCGTGCACGCGCTGCTTTGTTGCGGCCGTAACGAGCGAGGCCTTGAAATTCATGGCCAAAGAAACATACAACAAAGGCTGGGGTTGCAAAATTCGGACGTTCGCAACAGCCATGTTTACAGTCCATCATCATCGCCACCATCGTCGCCGCAATCGGTCGTGTCAGCGGGCCCACATCCTTGGATGTCCTGTTGAGCCTGACGCGCGTGGCGCACCTGTCGCACCTGGTGCGTATCATACGCCGGGCACACGCAGCCCACCTTCACGCGCTGCGCATCTGCTGCGCCTGGCGCACTTGGCGCGTCTGACGCACTTGGCTCACCCAATTCAATGTGGCAAACAGCGTAGTGAACGTACAGTGAACGATCAGTGGCTCAACAGTGAACCGTGGCAAAACACGTGGTGAACCACGGTTTCAATAGAATGGACAAATGTTCAATAATTTTTGATAAGGGTGGAGGTTCAGTATTTCTTTTTTGGTATATACAACGGTTCATCGTTGGCTCACTGATGGTTCACTGTAGGTGCACCATGCAAAACACTAAGATTTGCGGGGCTCTCTGGGTCGCTTGGAAGCGATCGCCAGGTGCCTGGGCGGATCTAAGCAGGATGCGAAAATGAAGCGGACTTGTATTCGCAGCCGCCCGTTGGCACGCCATCTGCAAGAACTGCAGGGGCGCTCAGTCCTCCGGAGGCCATTCTTGCGGCCGTCTTGGGCACCTCGTGGACGCTCTTGAGGCATCCCTGAAGGCCTTTTCAGGCGAGGTCCGCGCCAGAGCCCCCCCCCCCCGCCAGTCCATTCGATTCGTTTCCCCCACCTCTTCTATCCACAGACCTCCCCTGTCCCCCTCGTTATTCGCCACTCCTCCACACTTTTCCGCACTCCTTCCCACTTCACTTCGCTCCACCCGCTTTCCCTTGTTCCTCCCAACTCTACTCCCCCTTGCCTTCTCGTCCAGCCTTCTCCCATTCCCCCCGTTCCCATCCAGTCAATTGCGCTCCCTCTGACCTCCTCCGCCATCTTCCCACAGCGCCCCCACAAACCCCATGCTTCAATGACAGGTTCCTACGCACTTTCCCCACTCCTTCCCATTTCAGTCCGCTCTTTTTCCCGGAAAGGGCAAAGGCCCAGGGTTCTCTTTTAGTATGTAAACATAGTCCCCCGTGCCCAATTTGAAGGAGGCCGGCGAAATTTTTCCCTGATAAATATCGAGGTCGAAGGAGGCCGGCGAAATTATTTTTGAGGATGTCTCGAGCGAAACGCTTGTTTTTCAGAATTTGTTGAGGATGTCTCGAGCGAGACGCTGGTTTTGCAGAGTTGGGGATGTCTCGAGCGAAACGCTTGGTTTCAGAATTTGTTGAGGATGTCTCGAGCGATACGCTGGTTTTGCAGAGCCGACCGCGACACGGAAAAGCGCCAGGGTGCGGGACACCTCAGCACGACCACTCCCCAGCACAACCCCACCCCAGCACGACCCCACCCTAGCACGACCACGCCCCAGCACGACCACACCCCAGCACGACCCCACCCCAGCATGACCACACCCCAGCACGACCCCACCCCAGCACGACCACACCCCAGCACGACCACACCCTTACGCACGACCACACCCCAGCACGACCACGCACGACCCAGCACGACCACACCCCAGCACGACCACCCCAGCACGACCCCACCCAGCACGACCCCACCCCAGCACGACCACACCCCAGCACGACCACACCCCAGCACGACCCACCCCAGCACGACCCCACCCCAGCAAGACCACACCCCAGCACGACCACACCCCAGCACGACCACACCCCAGCACGACCCCACCCCAGCACGACCACGCCCCAGCACGACCACGCCCCAGCACGACCACGCCCCAGCACGACCACCCCCCAGCACGACCACCCCCCAGCACGACCACCCCCCAGCACGACCACCCCCCAGCACGACCACACCCCAGCACGACCACTCCCCAGCACGACCACACACCCCAGCACGACCACACCCCACGACACGCACGACCACACCCCAGCACGACCCCCCAGCACGACCCGATCGATAAATCACAGGGTGCGGAGCACCCCAGCACGAACCCACCCCAGCACGACCCCACCCCAGCACGACCCCACCCCAGCACGACCACGCCCCAGCACGACCACACCCCAGCACGACCACACCCCAGCACGACCACTCCCCAGCACGACCCCACCCCAGCACGACCCCACCCTAGCACGACCACACCCCAGCACGACCACACCCCAGCACGACCCCACCCCAGCACGACCACACCCCAGCACGACCCCACCCCAGCAAGACCACACCCCAGCACGACCACACCCCAGCACGACCTTACCACAGCACGACCACACCCCAGCACGACCACGCCCCAGCACGACCACGCCCCAGCACGACCACGCCCCAGCACGACCACGCCCCAGCACGACCACGCCCCAGCACGACCACGCCCCAGCACGACCACCCCCCCAGCACGACCACCCCCCAGCACCACCCCCCAGCACGACCACCCCCCAGCACGACCACACCCCAGCACGACCACTCCCCAGCACGACCACACCGCCTTGGTTGAGTGGTTGCCTGTCGTCGTGGAATGTTTCGCGGGGTGTCTCGTGGAATGTTTCGCGGGGTGTCTCGTGAAATGTTCGGTGAGGTGTCTCGTGGAATGTTTCGTGAGGTGTCTCGTGGGCTTTTTCGTGAGGTGTCTCGTGGGATGTTTCGTGAGGTGTTGCCCAGTTGGGTATCATGAAAACGTGTCCATGCTCCACATGTCTATATCCCTTTCCGGGTTCGTGGGTCCATCATGTTCGCTTCTCGCACCCTCGCATTCCTCCGCGTTTCTCTTCACTCCATTCACTTCCCCGACTCATCCTCGCTCATCGCCACTCCGATCCATCCTACTCCCCCCTCTCCTTCGCACTCCCCTGCCCATCTAACTTATCCCCGCGCCCACCCCACTCCAATCCAATCCACCCTAAGGCCTTACCCCCCCCCCTCGTCTCCGCACTCCAGCCCACTGCTCCGCCGTCCTGTCCAGCCCCCCAATTCCTCTGCCTTCTTCTGCCCCCACCTCCACTCAACTCCTCCATAAGTCCGCCACCTCCTCCGGCGCTCCTCGTTGCTCCTCTCCACTACTCCTCCTTCCGGGCTTCTCTATTACAGTCTTCCCCACTCCTTGCCGTTCCTCCGTCCTCTTCCCCGCCCCCCTTCGTTTCCCATTGTTTCCCCCACCCTCCTCCACGTCCGCCTTGACCTCCAAGTTTATCCCCCATCTCCACTCTCAATGCCTTCCCCCCCACCTTACCGTCGACTTATACCCTTACCCATTCACCTCTTCGTCCACCCCGACTTCCCCTTCCACCTCCGAGACTCCCCCCGCCCAACCTCGACATCCACTTCCGCCCCCACCTTTTGCCCCCCTGCAGTCCTCCTCTTCCTGCTCTTCCCTCTTCCCCCTTGTGCCCTCCTGCGTCGTCCAGCGACTCCAGAGCAGCCCCCTTCCTTGTGGACCTTGGCAACCAGGCATTCGAATGTACGAGTAAGCTGCCAACAGCGCCCGAGACTAGAACTAATTATTTCATAATAAAGGGTTGGATATTCCCGGAAAGGGCGGGGGCCCAGGGTTCTCTTTTAGCTGTTTACCCCCGGAATCGACTTGAAGGAGGCCGGCGGAATTATTTTGCGATAAATGACAAGTTTGAAGGAGGCCGGCGGAATTATGTTTGAGGATGCCTCGAGCGAAACGCTTGTGTTTCAGAATTGGTTGAGGATGTCTCGAGCGAAACGCTTGTTTTGTGTTATAGATGGTCCTCTCCTGGGGACCTGAATTCAGAGGATCTCTCAAGTGAAATGCTTGTTTTCACGTGCCCAGGTCTTGAGTATGTCTCGAGCGAGACGCTTGGTTTCACGCCTCCAGGTTGCCCAGGCAGATGTCTAGCATGAGGATTTGTTGAGGATGCCTCGAACCAGAGGCTTGTTTTCACGTGTCCAGGTCGCGCAGGCGGATGTCTAGCATGAGGATGTGTCGAAGAAGTCTCGATCGAGACGCTTGTTTGCCTTGAGCGAAACGCTTCTTTTCACGTGTCCAGGTCGCCCAGGCACAGCACAGCCCTCGGCACGGTACATCAATACCGATACCCTTAGCATTGCAGCGTGGCATGTTGCCTGGCACGTTCCGCGAAGCGTCCCATGGCGAGTCCCCCTGGCACGTCGCGCGGTGTCCATTGGCACGTTCCGTAGCGCGTCGCGTCCTTTTGGCACGTCCCGCGGTGCGTGCCCATGGCACGTCCCCTGGCACGTCGCCTGGCGCGTCCCTTGGGACGTTCCGCGGCGTGTCCTCCTGGCATGCCCCACTGTCGATTGGTTATAGGGCAGCTACCATCTGCTCAGGCAGCTCGAGCTTAAGATCCAGATCAGTTCGGTCAGGACTCGGATGCAAAGTGGACTCGATCCACAACGCTATATAGAGCACAATCGCGGCATGGCACAACGCAGTTCAGCACGGCCAGCACAGTGCAGCCCTCGGCACGGCACATCAAGATCGATACATTCCATATTGCACCTTGGCACGTTCTTTGGCGGGTTCTTTGGCGAGTCCACCTGGCACGTCGCGCGGCGCGTCCCCTGGCACGTCCCGCGGCACGTTCATTGGCACGTTCCGTAGCGCGTCCCCTTGGAACGTCCCGCGGTGCGTGCCCATGGCACGTCCCCTGGCACGTCGCCTGGCGCGTCCCTTGGGACGTTCCGCGGCGCGTCCTCCTGGCATGTCCCCTCTGTCGATTGGTTCTGGGGCAGCTACCATCTGCACAGGCAGCTCGAGCTTAAGATCCAGATCAGTTCGGTCAGGACTCGGATGCAAAGTGGACTCGATCCACAACGCTATATAGAGCACAATCGCGACATGGAACATCGCAGTTCAGCACGGCGTAGCACAGCACAGCCCTCGGCACAGTACATCAAGACCGATACATTCAGCATTGCATTTGCCCGTCGCCCAATCCGGTGTCTTTGAAACGTTGCCATGCCTTACATTTCTATATTCCTTTCCGGGTTCGTGGGTCGATCATGTTC